CACCCTGCTCATTGCTCCATAGCACTCACTATCTCGGATTGATTATGTATTACATGTTTATTGTTCATCTCTTCCCTTTAAAGTGTGCGCTTCGTGGGCGTAGAGGCTGTTCTGCACCATCATCCTCCATCCCTGCAACAAAACTAAACCTCGGGACGTCAGAGAAGAAAGGGTCGGCCACTGCACTGGAATATTACCCAGCACTAAAAAGAAATTAGCTCTCACGCCATGTAAAGGCCTGGAGAAAAGTTAAGTGCATATTGTAATGACAGAAGCCAATCTGAAAAGGCCACACACTGTGTGATTCCTGCTATATGACATCTTGGAAAAGGCCAAACTCTGGAGACAGTAAAAAGATCAGTGGTTGCCAGGGTTAAGAGGGAGGTGGGCATGAGTAAGTGGAACAGAGGATTCTTAGGCCAACTCTGTATGATATTATAATGATGGACACATGTTATAATAGATTTTTCAAACCTATAGACTGTGCAACACCAAGAGTGAACCCTAATGTAAACCATGGGCTCTGGGTGATAATGATGTGTCAATGTAGGTTCATCGATTGTAATAAATGCACTGGTCTGGTGGGGATGCTGATAACGAGAGAGGCTATACATGAGTGGGGTCAAAGGGTACATGGGAAATCTGTGTGCCTGCTGTTCAATTACACTGTGAACTTAAAGCAGCCCTAAAAAGAAAGCCCAAGTTGTGGAAACGGTTCAAAAGTGTAAGTGGAACATCAAGAAAGGTGATTTGATATTGGGGTTGTTCTGGGAAAGCTAGAGTTCAGGAAAGACTGAGCTCAAGCGTTAGGCGGTGTGTTCCGAATTGGAGTTCCATGTTCTGTGCTCAGACAAGTTAAGCAGGTTCTTGGTTGAGGGACCTAGTGCTCCTCCAGCTCACCTGCCTACGCCGAGTCTCAGGGGAACCGCATAAGTAGCTGTTTCTGACATTGGATCCAAAACCCATCCTTCACGCCATGTCTTTATTATTAGCGAGACTAAGTCCAGCTCAGTGCTGGTGTTACCCTGTAGAGAAGCTTTCAATTGTGAAAATTTTTCTCCTCAGAACTAATCCAGCCTAATTTAGTTACTTATTTGGTTGGCCGATTCCAAACTACTAGAATCTAAGTTCCATGAAAAGAGTGTATTTTGTCTTTTATTCACTATCATGTTCCCAGTGTTCAGAGCAGTGCTTGACACATAGTAAATGCTCAATAAATATTTGTTACAAGAATGAGTAAGTGAGCAAATGAATAAACAATTTTTATTCTGTTCGTAAGTCCTCAGTGAAGAGGACAGAAAGGTTGGTACAAGGTGCAGTAGCCCCCCTTTATCCATGGTTTCACTGTCTGTGGTTTCAGTTACCCACAGTCAGCTGTGGTCTGAAAATATGAAATGGAAAATTCCAGAAATAAACAACTCGTAAGCTTTAAATTGCATGAGTTGCATGATGGAATCTCGCCTGAGCTGTGAATCCTCCTTTTGTTCAGCATATCTACACTGTAGGTACAGTACAATAAGATACTGTGAATGAGAGAGACAGACCACATTCACATAACATTTATCACGGTATATTGTTATAATTGCTCCATTTTGTTATTGCTAATTTCTTACTCTGCTTAATTTATAAATTAAGCTTTATCACAAATATGTATACATAGAAAAAAAAACAAAGTATGTATAGGGTTCAGTATATACAGGCATCCACTGGGGGTCTTGGAACATATTCCCCATAGATAAGGGAAACTACTGGAAACCAAATTCTGATCTACGTGGTTCATACTTCTGGGCTATTTGTGTCATATTTATTCTCACTGCTGGTTTTCCCAATGGATTTTTTTTTTCTGGATGGAGAAGTTGGAGGAATTAATAAAATGAAGCAGGAGTGCCCTAACTGGTTTGGCTCAGTGGATAGAGCGTCGGCCTGCGGACTGAAGGGTCCCAGGTTCGATTCCGGTCAAGGGCATGTACCTTGGTTTCGGGCACATCCCCAGTTGGGGGGAGTGCCGGAGGCAGCTGATCAATGTTTCTCTCTCATCGATGTTTCTGACTCTCTGTCCCTCTCCCTTCCTCTCTGTAAAAGATCAATAAAATATATTTTAAAAGAAAATGAAGCAGGAGTGAAGGCTTGGGTTCCGATCCCACTTTATCGGTGATAATAACTAACATTTGTATTGCAATTTTCTTCCAAATGTTATTGCATGTGGTTCTCAAACTGTCACTGTGAGGCAGGTGTTAATGCCTCATTTTCAGGTGAAGAGGCAGGCTTGGAGAGACTCTCCCAGTGTCACGTGGGTAGGATTAGATCAGCCTTGCTATAAGCCTGGTTTACCATGTCCAAGTCCATGTTTCTTCTCTTGCTCCCACTGCATCCCCGGCTGGTGTATCCTGGGAAACCATTCTCTTCTGGGCCTCAGCCCCTCCTCACCCCACCCGCCCCATCTGGAGGATGTCCAGGTGATCTGAGATCCCTCCCCAAATTTCAATGCCTCCCTCACAGATTTTAAGAACTGCTATAGCTTTAAAAAGTATTAAAATAATGAGATTTTCTTTCTACTTGTAATTGCATAGCTCTTTCAAAATATGATTTAGATACTCAAAAGTAAATTATAAAAAATGTCCTTTCTTTTCAAGTAATGCCTAGAAACAGAGTACCTTGGAAAAGAGTTGGTTTTGTTAAGCACAGGACCCTCAGAAAGGTCTTTTTGTTCTTAATGTCATGAGAGGATTTTTCTCTGAGCTTATTTCAAAACTAAAGATATGGAAGAAAATATAGCAACTTTTAAAGATATGAAGCCATGTAGAGCAGAATAAAAATAAATATGAAATATTTAACCACCAAGTAGCTAGATAAATAAACCTTTCCAAAAGAAAGGCCAGGCTGGGCTTCATTTACCTGGAAACCGCTTTGCGAGCAGTGTGTGCTCCTCACCGGGAGGCTGCCTCGGGCCAAGGGCCAGCACAGCGGCCTGGCCTTGCGCATCGTTCGGCTTCTTTGGTGGCCATATAGAAAACCCTGCTTTCAGTGTCTCATGAAACACTTTACACAGAAAACTGTTTTTACGGTCTTTTGGGAGTTTTATTTTGCTAAAAAGTAGAATTCACATGGCAAGAAAAATCAAAACAAAAACCATGCCAAATAGTTTGTGCACACTTCTAACACACTACATTCCATTTCTGAAATCTTAAAATTAAAAAAGAAATCCCAAAGCAAAAGTATGTGTGTTGAAAAGTTAACATTAGAAAAGCTAGGTTCCTAACCCCAACACTGCAAGCCCAAGTCACTCTGTTGCAAAGAGTCAATGTTTATAAATGTTAAATAAATGTGAACAATACGGAGACAGAAACTGCAGATCCAAAGTGTACTCCACGTCACGAGCTTTACAAATTGTGTTTGATGTTGTAGGCCAGCCATGATGTTAACCTGAAATAGATACGGTCTTCACACTGAGGCGACACAAACTCACAAACACGAAGAAACCTGCTCAAAACTACTCCTTTCCCTGCTGCCCTAAAAAACATTTTGTTTTGGGTTCTGATAAATAAAAGAGTTCCTCAGAATCCACACTAGCTCTGAGCTGTAGAAACACCGATTCAATAAAGGACTATGAAGTTCTCCTTTGAGATATTTCACTTTTTAGTGATCACACACTTTTTAATCATCACACGTAGTGTGTGTGTGTGTGTGTGTGTGTGTGTGCCATTTTAAAAGATATTTTTTAGAACAATTCTAGGGAACTTTTTCCTTTCCTCATGACCATCCCTGATAATTTGTTTTGTTTTATTTTGCTTTGTTTTGTTTTAGAGAAAGCTGCCTAGAGCCTTTCTGTACAGTCTGCAACCTCCTTGTCCCTGTGCCTTTGAACTTTCCAAAAATAACAGAATGTCCAAGGCACTTGTTTGCAGCTCCTGCAGAACCTGCAGGCTCTCCCGCGCCTGGCTCTCTCGCAGCCCCTCGCTGAACAGGGCCTGGCGCGAGCTCACTCATGCCCCTCCTGGTGCTCCCTGGGGGCTGGGGGTTACCCTGGGAATGAGACACGGGCTTCCTGCGAGGGACACACCTAGCTGCTTCCCTCTCTTGGGAGAAGGGACATATTCGGTAGAAAGTCCCTGGAAGCTCAGTGCTCAGAAGTGTTGTAACGCACTCGCATGAAAGGTTTCGAGTGTGCAGAGAGG